TAAAATATATTTGGACTCTGTCTTCCAAAAATAGATGATGTTGTGAAGGCAAAATGAAGAACAATCTTAGTAATTCTTTCCATTTTATTTTATATTGGCCATTGATAAATTATAGTTTGTTGAACAGAAATGTCCTCTGGGATAAAAAGCCTTCCATCTTTGAAGGAAGTTGAATAAACAACAGGATGTTCTAAAAGAAAGTAAACAACAGGATAATTTGAGGCAAAGTAGGGCATTCCATCCTCCAGAGAAGTTCATTAAGCTCAGTAAGTAAACAACTCAATAGCTTCAGGAAGTTCCTGAAACTAAGTTTGCTAGGCTGTGGCTCCCCAAGAATTTAAAAGCCCTCAGAACTGCTTAGAGATGATGTCACACCAGCCAAGATGCCTGGAAGAAACTGAAACCAGCTGAGCATCATTTTATATCTCATAAATATGTGCAACTATATTGTGTAAAAGTATTACTGAGGAGACATGAGAAAACAGCTACTCACCTAAAATAGGGAACACATCAAAGTAAAGATAGCACAAAATCTAACTTGGTGAACCAGTGAGTTTTATTGGGGTTACTTACAGGCACACGTGTAGGTGAGCTGCCTGGAAGAGGCTCAGACTGACTTAGCTACCTGGATAAAACACTCCCTAACCTCTTGATCTGCCTGCTGGTTGTATGATACATTCCAGGTTTCCTGCTTTCATGAGCTGTCACCCATGCTGGGGTGGGTGTTTGGTGATGGCACTGCCTTTGAGCCATTTTTGCTCCTGGGGGGGTGCATGTTTGCATATTGTATGCATTTGTGTGAAGGACTGCCTCAGGATATCCTTCATGAAGAGCTTTCTACCTTTTGTTTGAGAACAGGTTGCTCCTTGGCCAGGAATTTCCCTAAGTAGGGTTAACTAGATGGTTAGTGAGTTTCCAGGTGTCCACTGTCTCCTCTCATCTTACTATTGATGCAATTATAAGCACAGATCACCATGTCTAGCTCTTTATATGGGTTCTGAGGATTGAAGTCAGATCCTTAGACTTGTGAGGCAAGAGTTTTAATGTCCTAGTCATCTCCCAAGCCACGCTACATTTATTTGAACTCCTTGTCTCAAGCTTTCTATGAATCAGGAAATGATTTTAAATTATTCATAACCAGTTTAAACCAGTAAGCCTTTAAAGAGGACAATGAGTTAATAAGTTTTAGATAAATGGTAACAATAATGATTTGTGGTTAACAAAATAAAATCTATGAATACACACTCCTAAGATAGAAGAACATTGATTTTCAAGGACAGCAAACAAATTTCTATATGGGGAGTGGTGTTTTTCTGTTGTCTTTATTTCCACCTAGAATTCAAAATCTACGTATTAAACATTTGCTGGATTAAAATAACCTTCTTGGGCTTGAGAATAAAGGTTGAGATGTCCTGGCTGGCTGTGCCCTCAAAACAGGACCCCTGAGCAGGGCAAAGACAGCCCTGTACCTGTTGGTACCATCCACAGGATGTCATAAACACTGTAGATAACAGCAGGTTAGGGGAGGGTCCCAGCCCATTATCTCTGTAAGTAAATAAATTCATGGTTCAAATCCAGAATGGCAAAACTCCCAAAACAGCACTTTTCACAGATTTATTTTATCCACAACATGAAATGTAATAGTTGTGTGTCTCTTCTCAGCTGAGGAGATGGCTAAGATAGTCTACCGATTTTTCAAGAGAGTCAAGAAGCTTTGGACTTCACAATCCCCATTGATTCTTTTTTTCATGAAGGTGTCATACTGTGAAAACAGGGGTTATTCTTTCATTGTCTACAATTACAAAGAAAATTTGTCCCCAAATGTAACAAGATCACTTCTGGCTGCAAAGCCTATGGTTGGTCATTTTAAACAACAGTAACAAAATTAATATGGCACAAACATCTTGGAAATTCAGTAAGTCTCATGTTATTAAAATGATTCAACCAAAAATTAAAGTGAAAACAATTGGAGAGTATGTACATTGTACTGGATAGCTTCAGTTGTCAACTGGACACTTCTGGGAAGAGGGGACCTCAGTTGGGGAATTTCCTCTATTTATTTCACCCGTTGGCATGTCTGTGAGGCATTATCTTGACCTCTGAGTGGTGTGGGAGGGCTCAACTCACTGTGACTAGTACCACCCTTGGGTGGGGTGGTCCTAGGTTGTATACCAGAGCAAACTTAGCACAGGTCAGGGGAGCAAGCTGGTAAGCAGCATTCCCCTGCGGTCTGTACGTCCAGGTTCCTTCCCTGCTTAAGTTCTTGCTTTGGTATCCCTCACTGATGAACTGTCACTTAAAAGAGTAAGATAAAACAACCCCTTTCCTCCCCTAGTTGGTTTTCATCGGAATGTTTTCATCATAGCAATAGAAAGCTAACTAGAATATACAACTGGGAAATTTTATTTCCTATAGTTACTGTGTTTTTTAACAGATACTTTAAAAATTGGAAATATAACGTGATGAAAATCTACAGACTAGGAGTCAAGAACCTTAGATTCAGGGTACATTTGATTACTAATTAAAATTACACAAAGTTTTTGAGTAGTGTCTTAGAACAGAAGCTAAGAGGCAGGCTAGTCCCTCCGGGGACCAGCGTAGAAAGGATCTATGAGATGCCCATGAATGAGGGTACCAAGAGATAGTTTGAAGGTAAACCCCAACTGATAACTCTGCCTTTAAAAATAAATACATTCTTTTCATTACTTTAGTAGAGAAGAAAATGAGGCACCAAGCCATAGGGAGAAAAAAAGAAAGAAAAAAATAGTTTTGTATAAATAAAAACTTTACACTGAGTAAATAAGTAATAAGATTCTGTGAATCACACTGGAAATCTCCTGCTTGCTATGGAATTTCTAGCTCCCTGGATTGTGCATGTATATTTCCTATGGACTACAGTCTGAGCAAGACAGTCTAAAACCAAGCAAGTTCATGCCTCACTTACTCTTCTGCTTTAAAAGGACTCTCAGAAATAAATACTCGTGGGGCTGGAGAGATTGCTCAGTGGTTAAGAGCACTGACTGCTCTTGCAGAGGACCCAGATTCGATTCCCAGCACCTACATGGCAGCTACGAACCGTCCTTAACTCGAGTTGCAGGGGAATCCAAAGCCCTCTTCTGACCTCTGAAGGCAGCTATGAACCATCCTTAACTCCAGTTCCAGGGGAATCCGAAGCTCTCTCCTGACCTCCACAGCATTGCACGACAAAGGTGCACTCACATACATGCAGGCTCATACACATAAAACAAAAATAATAAATATTTTTTTAAAAAGAAAGTCCTAGGGCAATACACTCATACACATGAAATAATAAAAATAATAAATAAAATATTTTAAAGAAATAAATACACTACCTGTGTCTAAATGTAGAAAGTTTACTTGAAAAACAAATTCAACCCATACAAAGGCATTTTATATGTTTTAAAATGGCTGAAATTCTAAGATTTTATTGGTAACTTTTGAGGTTTAGGAAGCATATAAAACATGAATCTGTTTTTTGCTGTTGTTGGTTAGTTTTTAATACAAGAGTGCAGACTTAATAAACTCTACACAAATTACATGCCATTTTTGTTGCCTTCATATTGTCCTTTTAGCTTAAATATACCTTTTTTTGGTCACTGGTATTTCATTTTTTGTTGTGGTAGTTTTATTAGCTACTGAGGAAAAAAATTGAGCACCACTTGTACATAATAACAGGTGGCCATTGAGGTACTGTATTGGGATTCCTCTGCCCTTAAGAAGAATGGTAATGCAGGTTCATTATGTTTTGAGCATTCATGTCTTATTTCAATAATTTTGAAAGAAATGCTAAATGCCTTAAGTAAAACTGAAATCTCACAGAAATCCCTTTACAAATTGATTAACTATAAAACCATTCAGAAAATTCTCTTCATTTCTAATCCAACCTTAATGAACTAGAAAAAAGAAAAAAATTCTAAGTATTCACTTGTACTTCCAAATATCCTTTTACTATGACATAAAGAATAACTTTGGTGTGGAACTTATGCAAAATGAAATGGAGAAGTTGAAATACAAGGGAATATACTGTACCTTGTTTTACCTGTAAGGAACACACACCTGACAAAAGGCAAGTTTCACATCCAAGGTTGGTTCACTGCAGTAGTATAAGAAATTGAGGCTCATAAATACCTACAAGGAAGAAAAGTGGAACATGAGCTTCTAAATCACTAGTTTTTCATTATTGAATAGTACATATTTTTGCATCATTAGTTATACATAAGATACAATGCAGAGAATCTACTCATCATAGCCTTTTCCCATAGCAGCACTAGGCACTTCTCACAAATTATAAAAATTTGTGATCAATGTCAATCAAACAGATCAGATATAATAAATTAGATATAGCTAATAGATGAGGCCAAATACAAAATTATACAGCACTTTCAATGCTAGACATCTGATTCAAAAACAAAAACAAAAACAAGAACAAGCACAGCATATGCTCAAGAGGACATATGTGGACATATACTGTGGGTTTGGTGTTTGCTGTGGATGGGTACTGTATGTCCCTCAAAGGCTCATGTGCTAAAGGCATGATCCCCTGTACAGTGGGGTTCAGAGGTGATCAGATCATAAGGGTACAAAACTCATAAATGAATGAGCCCATTGTTGAATGGATCTTTGGGAAGCAATGGAAACTATAGGAAGTGGGAGCTACTTAGAGAAAATGTCATTGGGGGTACATTCCTGAAGGGTTTATCTTGCTCCCTGTTCCTCTCTTGCTTGCTCACTTTCCACCATGCTGCCTCCTGCCTACAGTGAGCAGCTGTGCTCCACTTCCTCCTTGCTCACACTGTAGGCCCATAAGCAAAGAGCCAAGTGGTCATGGATTAACATCTCTGAAACTGTGAGCCAAAATAAACATTTTCTTCTTGAAATTGTTTTTCTCAGGTATTGTTCTGTATATTTTTTAGGGGGGGGGTCTTTTGAGACAGGGTCTCCCTGTAGCCCCAGCTGTCCTGGAACTCACTATGAGTTCAGGCTCGCCTTGAACTCACAGAGACCTGCCTGCCTCTGCCTCCCAAGTGCTGGAATTTCTGTGTACTTCATATACAACATCTTAATCATCTTCATACCCCTTTCTCCACTGGCACCCTCTCATAGCGCTTCCCCCACTGGATTTCATGCATTCTGCCATTCATGGTAAGGCCTACTGAGTCAAGTTAGTGAATCCAGATGGACATCCCTCAGTGCAAGTTCATCCACTGGGGTCTAGCAGGCTGCCTAGAGGTACTCTCTTAAAGAAGATCAGCTCATCCTCACCCAGCAGTAATCAGCTGCCCAACAGTTCTTCATCTAAGATTGGGACCTGCTCAGGTATTTTATGGTGATGGGAAACTGACAATTATTAAGTAAAATAAAAATTTTAATATATATAAGATTTTGAACAATTGTGCACAAATACACTTAAACTTTCAAACACATTACTGAGTGAGGGGAAAAAGCGTGTTTGAAGTGTGAAAAAGCAAATATTAAAGTAAAAAATTGGAAATACAAAAAAGACACCATACATTATTTTAAATAACTACAGTACAAAAATATTAGGCACTTTATTAATTCTGATTATTCTTGATGCGAGGTATAAGGATTTAATTATATTATTTTCTCTGAGTCTAAAATCTGTAATAATTTTGCAAAGTTGTAGGGAGAGGAAAAGTATGAAAGTAGCTTCAAATTAAGTCCTAGATTCCTTGGGAATGATGGAGCAGAACCCATTGGATAGCTTCTCTCATTTAATCAAACACTTTTTGTGAATATTACTGCATGTAAGATGCCATTGTGTGAGAGCAAAGGATTTAGACACTCCTAAAGCTGTTAGATGAGAGACACAAAAGGTTTTAAGATGCAGAGCTAAGCTATGCAAAAAGGCAAGAAAAGTTCCAGGAGTTGAGAAGATTGTGGAGAGATGCAAACAGAGAAGTCAAGGAGCCAAAGCTGCTGATCAGCCCTCACCATCCTCTGTTCCTTGATGACTAGAACTTCAAAGGGAAAATGCAGAGTACAAGAAACAAGCTTCGGTCTACCTGGGTGGGAACCCACACTGAAGATACCTATGAGTTCCTAGCAGGAAAAGTCATAAATCAATTTATGAGGAAGCAGAATAAGCCTGGAAGGAAGGTCTCAGTTGCTAGAAAGACACTTAGCTTTGGACCTTGATGTACATTTATCTTCAATGTTAGGAAGTGTGAAAAGATGAAAAAATGGAGACCAGATTGTGTTAAGGTCTGCATTGTAGACACCTGGGTAAAGTGTGTTAAATCATGCCAACACAACCAGTCATTGATAAGGGAAGAAGAGTAGATCCCTATCAGAAGATAGTTCTTATGGGACTCTCCTCTCTGCATGTTTCCCAAACAGAAACTCTGGCTGCCTTTCTTCCACTCTTTTTTTTTTTTTTTTGAGACAGGGTCTCCCTGTTGCCACAGCTGTCCTGGAACTCACTATGTAGACCAGGCTGGCCTTGAACTCACAAAAATCCACCTGCCTCTGCCTCCCAAGTGCTAGGATTAAAGGCGTGCACCACCCTGCCCGGCTCCAGTCTGTCTTCTTAATGAAGGTTATTTAGCTGTCATGCTTGGAAGACACACATAGTATCACCCTCTAGATCAAATAATAGAACTGAGTAGTCTCTAGTGTCATAAAAATATGATCACTCCCTTGGGTAAGAGTTAGGCATGCTTAATATTTATTATAAAAGATTTGACATTCTTAAACTTGAGGATCCTCTGCTATAATGCAGCCCAATGTCTGTATGTGTGTGATAGTTTCCTAACCTGCTTTGCATCATCCTGTGGTTGCTAAGACCCAAGAACCTGTTCTGAATGTTGACCCTCTAGCCTCTGGTTGCTATTTCTGTGAATAACAAAGATCCTTGTATCAGATCCTAGAGTCTTGTGTTCTCTGCCATTATCAAGGAAATTATGGAAGGCTAACTTGCAAACTTGCCAATAAGGTAGCAACTTAGATTCTTCAGAAGTCTTGATAATTCCTACCTCATATTCTGTAATTTTAAAAATCCAAATGGGTTAAAAACTTGAGGAAGAGTCAAATTTAAAATATTGCAAATTATAAATATCACAGAAGGAAATATAATTGAATGTCAGAGAAATATAAACAACATACAAACATGTTAAGCACAAAGGAAATTATTGATAAACTCTATTAGATTTAATAAGTCGGCTTTATGAAAAGATCTAATGATTTTTTTAAGTAGACTACAAATTTGAAAAAGTATTTAAAATATACAACCAAGGAACATTTGTCCAGAATCAATATAGAGCACTTCAAAAATCAAGAAAAGTACAGGGAACCCAGTAGAAAAACGGGCAAATTGAAGACATTTCATAGAAGGAGGCAAAGACCCATAAAATATATGTAAATTAAACCACATTGAAATCATACTCAGAAGTATAGCTGAACAGAAGACAATGCACTGTTGAGAAACGCAAGTGGAAATAAACTTGGGGAAATAGAATTATTTCTCAGAGTTGCATGTAGTATATAATCCCATAACCCCCCATCTACACATATTCCTGAAGAAACACTGGTGCTTTACTACCAGGTTACATGTACAAGAAATCTCTGCAACAATAAAATAGATAATAAAAATTAAAACCTGGAAAAAACATGTTTATAGGCTATACTTCTTTAGCAGAATTTGATGTACTAATGAAATGGATGAGTGGATGAATACATGTATTAGAACAGGAATGTGTATCTGGTTCCACTGTATGTTAAGAGTATGTAATTTTTCTTTTGATTTTATAGGGGCTTACAGAAGAGACTTGACTATGGAGACTTTCAAGGACAGATTAAATGTATCTTATATTTTATATTTTCATGAGCCTATGGGGGCCAGGGAGTGGAATGTGGTGATTTGAATGAGAATGTCCCCAAAGGCTCCAAGTATCTGGACATTTTGTCCCCAGTTGGTGGTGCTGTTTTAGGAGGTCTTAGAAGGTGTGGCTATGATGGAGGAAGTAACTTGGGACTTAAGCCTTGCCAGATTTCCAGTCACCCTCTTCTTCCTCTGCCTGCTTGAAGATGTGAGAGCTTAACTTCTGCTCCTACTCCAGCCACCTCTGCCACCATGCCTCCCCACCGTGATGGACTCTTGCCCCTTTGGAACTGTAAGCTAAATACATTTCTTTTTGTAAGTTCCCTTGGTCATGGTGTTTCTGTCACAGCAACAAAAAGAAACTAATACACTACAGTAACAAAACTCAGCAGCAAAAAATCTCTTATAAACATCAAAGAAAAATGTCATTCCATTTATGAAACTTCACAGCTCATCAACTTTGAGGATGTTTACCTGTAAGTATAGTGTACTTACGGACTCATTTTTGTTCCCCAGTTCCTCTCAGAAGTACTTTGTAGTTTATGTGTATGGACCTCATGCATTTTTCTTAAGCATTCATATTTTATGCTAAGTGGTTTATTTTGAATTATTATTTCCCAAATGCTTATTGCTAAAAATAAAGCTGCTTTTTAAAAGTGATCTTATATTTTACAAAATCGATGAATTAATTGATTAGAACTGGGAAGTGTTTTGCGGATTTCTTCAGATTTTGTGCACACAGAGGCTGGCTGCAGATGAAGGTGCTTTCTGGTTCCCTGCCAATTCTGCTTGCCCTTCCCTGTTGCTTTGAGACTCTATGATTACACTTCAGTTCCTTCTGAATTGAAATACTGCCCCCAGGAGGGATCGGCTGGTTCCTGAGACTCCAGAGGTAAACACATGTCACACATCTGAAAAACTGGAAATTTGCTAGACTGTGGAACGTCTCTTTCCAACTTTATAATAGCAAATAGTTGCTCAGCGAGGAAACTCTGATCCCAGTCCCAGCTGTGGAGAAGAGATTCTCGGTCCTAGAAACTGTGTGCAAATTGTGCAGAGTGATCCAAGGTTGCAGCTTTCGTGAGTGGGATTTTAGGCAGTGCAACTGTAATTGATTGATCCCCAGTTTCTGTAATTAATCCCTCACACACAATTCTATTAGTAACAAAAATATAAGCTATTGGTTCAAGTTATTCTTTGGTACAGTCCTTTCTTTGGTCTATCGTTGGTTCCTTATCAGGAGTGAGTAGACACATTTGTGTCATGTCTCCCAGGAAAAGTCTGTCACATG